AAAAAAAACAAAACAAAAAAACATCCTGAGTGAGGTAACCCAGATTCAGAAAGACAAACACCGTATGCACTCACTCCTAAGTGGGTATTAGACGTAAAGCAAAAGATAACCAGGCTACAATCCACAGCCTAAGATGGACACACATGGAGGTCCCTAGGAAGGGAAAGTAGTTACGATCTCCTAGGTAAATCTCGGGAGGGGGGTAGAAGGGAGGCATCAAGGAAACCTGGTTGGAGGAGAGATGGTGGGGGAGAGCAACGAAAGAGAGCCCAATTTTTAGAAAAGGAGTTTCCTTATTACTTTTGTATGCTTTCTCTAAAGACAGCACAGATTCCAGTGCTTGTCATAACCAGGAACCCAAAGCACCAAGACCTGTTCTTACTACTGCTATCAATCAGCAAACGGAGGCTTTCAAACTGTCCTCACTTCAGTTAACAATATTATGAGGAGAAAGGATTAATTAACATTATCCAGGAGTTGTAAACATAAGCTTAAAATATTAAAAGAGTCTTTGGGAAGCTGATTCATGAAGGTTTATTGTAAAGTAATTCAGAGTATTGAAAGATGAACAATATTTATCTAATTTTCTTGTGAGTTTTGTTACTGATTGAACACACATCTAAAGAACATTTTTAAGAAGTGAAAGTTGCCAGAGTAATGAAGGTAAAACGTTATTCAAATAGAGAGGTCAAAATTATAGCAATAAAATGGACAAAGTAGGACTATTTGTACATTAATAAATGATATAATTAGAATAGTGCTCAAATATTGAAAATACATTAGTCTTTGGGGTGTTAATTCATCACTGCATATACTAGAAAAGGTAACTTACGTGGCTGAGAGCTAGTACAAGATACCAGTCTGGAAATATTGTAAGGCCTTTCTAAGTTATGCTGATGAGTTGTAATAAGTGAACAAGTCTTTAAAGGTGAACAATCTGCATCTATTTACAACCAGACCCTTTCCTCCCTTAGATGAGAACCTCAGGTCCTCTGCAACAGTGACAGGCAAACAGACTACTGAAAGCCGTGAAAGGGAAAATGTCCCACTGTGCTTCACTCTCTAAAGCTCTTCAACAACTGGCTGGCTTGGTTTGCAAAAGCATTAGGTATGGAGTCATGAAAGTCACTGTAGCATCCGCATTATTAGGCTAATTCAATGGCAGGAAAGGTGAAAAACCAAACCAAACCAACCAACCAACCAACCAAACAAACAAACAAAAACCTCAAGAGAATTTCACAGCTTGGAAGTAAGTTTTCCAGGAATAACAATGAACAGGATGGATGAGTTTCTTTGGGGGGTGGGGGTGTAATTCACCAATTAAAAAATGCTACTGAACAAAACTGACAGGACCCATCAGAGATAAAATTTCTTTTGATTTTACATAATTGGAACCACTAGAGACAGATTTAATTTGCCATTTTGGAACAAAACTTCAATGTCTGCTTGTAAGATGTTGAAATAGTTCAACTGTTGTAGCTGCTGTGTGAGGAAGACAGCAGACACAGCTGAAGACTACAAAGATGGTGAGAAGACTCTCCAAGATCTTGCCACATCCACATCACCAGGTGCTGGGCTGCTCATGGGAACCAAGGAGCAGCAGTTTCAGGGCAGTGGTTGAACCTGCATTGTAAGGCCTCCAGAGACTGCAGCAAACCTAATGCAACTGTGGGAGGCCAACATGAACCCCTAAAAAGCTAACATTAGTGAACTATAATGGTTATTATAATCACCTGTATTTATTGCTTAGTGTTCTTCATTGTTTTAAAGGAAGTGAGTTGGTTTGCTATTGAGCACTGGCATCTGAAAAGAGTCCAGCTTTAACAATGGCTTCTGAGATCTGTTTGCCTTAGCACGTTTGCAGGGAAGTTTAGCAGGGAGCCTCACACCTTTACAGATCAAGATATAGGAAAATTGCAAAAGAAAATGTTATGAATGGCAGGCACAGGTGGACAGACAGCCTGAATGTGTACCTGTAAAAGCCCACCACTTACTTTCCCTGAGATGCACCTGCAAAGAAAGCCATCAGAAAGACCCCAAACCATTTTGTGTGGCTGAACTCCCATTTTTAGTCCACAGAAGGAATGGGAAATGGAAAACTGTGCTACTTTAGAGTTCAGTTACAAAGCCACTAAATCCTAAAAGTCTCATACCAGCATTGGATAAGTTTGATTTTATGTGGCATATATCTTAGAGTACATTTATAGCCTATGTTTATAGTTTTTATAGCTTAAGGCAAAGTGAAGTTGTAGCTGGAAAGTGATCCACGTGTGAAATAAAACCACCCTGCACAGTTTTCTCAGACCCAAGTCAACCAGGTATGGGATGGCTGACTTGCTTGGACTGCTATCCTCCACCAAAGCCCAACACTTGCCCCTGCTCCAGCTCCCAGGGAAGCTGAGGAACCCTCACTCTTGTAGCACATGATGGCACCATCATGCAAGTATTTGAGTCCATCATTGGACTTGGCGATGATCTCTGCAATCTGGTGTTCGGAACACTCCACAGAAGCATGTTAGTTCTTTCTGATGCAGAAACAACAACAAGCTTTGTGGAAGTCAATGCTGTTCTTACAGGACACATCTGGAGTGACTCTGAGTGATAACATGCCATGGGCAGTTGATAAAACCTGCTGCACAACCGATGACTGCAATGCTAGCTCCCCTCTCAGGTGCAGAAAGCACCTGTGGGCTGTGCAGAGCCCATGTGGCTTTAGTCCTGACATCACAGCCTCTCCTGAAGGGGCATGTTGTCATATGTACCTTTCCCATGCCTCACCTAGGCATACGCAGACATTGCCTGCATTGACACCTGCTGTTGCTGATGGAGAAAACCTCTAGGTATTAAGATCACTGTTTCCTATCCTGCAAAATTACTGGGGCTCCCAATTCCCACGAGACCTCCCTTCTTCTCAACCCTACACTCAATTTGTATGATACTTTGAAGGTACAGATGCCCAGAGGATGATGGCCACAGTCTCAAAGCAAGCTGCTTGTCTGGGCAGATAAAGCCACCGGGGCCCCTCCTCCATTGCAGCTCCTCCCTATTCCAGGCTCTATTAGATTCCCAGCACATCCACCCTGGACCCTCCAGCATGTTGGCCCCTCTCCCAGCCAGGCCACCCAGTCACTCCATTGAAGTTTCTCTCCCGTCTGGGGCTATTGCCCTCATGACCCTTTCCACATCATGGATTTTCTTCCATTGTGTCTCCTCCCTATCTCAGCAGCAGTGCTATCTTCTAGACATGCTGCATATCTTAGCAAATAAATTTTTCAAAATAGTTTTGGCTAATGTATGCTTTAAAAGTTCCTTTAAATTGTATTTGGTTACTTCTTGTGGTTCTAGAGATTGAACTAAGGCCTTACCCATTCTTCTTCTCCTCCTCTTCCTCTCTTTCAAGACAGGGTCTCACTACATAGTCCTGGCTGGCCGAGAAATTGCTGTATAGACAGACTGGCCTTGAATTCAGAGTCCCATTGGCATCTTAAAAGTGTTTGCCCTACCTGGCCTTTAGGGCAGTAAATTCTCATGTAAAATAACTATAATGGTTTTGGATAAATCTTCTTAAATTGGAAAGCATCATCCTTTACAAACAAAAGGGAGAAAAATAAAAGACAGAAATTTAGCCCCCAGTGTTGTGTCTAAGGCCTCTCAAAAGTGGAAAAGAAAAAAGAAAAAAGAAAAAGAAGAAAAGGCCATTGATTAAAAAAAACCAACTCATCTTCCATTTTAACACTCGCTACTGTGTAATCATTAATGAGGAATTCACTTGGAGTTTTCAAAGAATTTGAGTGTGAAAATCCTCTCCTTTCCTTCAAAATAGAGGGAAAGTTATTTTTCAACAGTGACAGTAGTTATCTATTAAAAAAATCCAGCCCTTCATTAAAACCTGCCATTTTAATGAAATATAATCACATTTTTTTCTTTGTGACCCGTGATGGTGTGAATAAGAATGGCCTCAAAGGCTCAAATATCTGAATGCTTAGTCATCTGGGAGTGGCACTTCATGGGACAGATTAGGAGGTGTGACCTTGTTGGAGGAAGTCTGTCACTAGAGTGGGCTTTGAGGTTCAAAAGCTCAAGCCAGGCCTAGTTTCTCTCCTGTTGCCTGTGGATCTGGGTGCAGAACTCTCAGCTACTTATGCAGTGCCATGTCTGCTTGCATGCTGCCAAGCTCTCTACCCTGATGATTATGGACTAAAACTTCAACAGCCTCTGAAACTGTAAGCAAGCTCCAATTGAATATTCTGCTTTATAAGAGTTGCTGTGGTTATGGGTTTCTTCACAGCAATAGAGCACTGACTAAGACATGATTCAAAGTAGTCAGTGATGCACTATATATTGTAGAATTACCAAAATTAATACCTAGATTAGAGCAATGATTGAAAGAAATACCGTAGAAATACTGGGTAAATATTTAATTAGACTAGTCCCTTTTATAGGATTCTCCCACATAAGTTAAAATACAATTTCGATGAAATTTGGTATAAACTATTCATAGACATATAAACACTGTTTTTTCTAAACTATATATTGCTTGTAGTTTAATTTTAAACTTTGATATTTTTAATGCTATAGTATACTGAGAAGAATAATTTATTAGGTCATAAATCTGCTACTACCAAGTGATGATTTTCTGCAGGTATGTACAAAACAGGATAATGTCTACTGCCTTTTTCACAGCTCAGTGACAGTCTGTGATTCCCCCAGATTCATTGTCTCTCATCTCTTGTCACAGGAAGAGCCCTAGAGCAGGTTCAAGGCAGAGCTGGCCTAGAGTAGTTCCTTCTCTCACCATTTCCTCCACCTTGTTCTCCAGGCCACAGGGGACACCCTCCTGGTTTCATTTGCTACCTGTACACCTCATGGTCCTTCCTGATTGCTCCTGCTATTTGTCAGCTCCCTCAGTGTTGTCATAATGTCATAGTTTAAGTTTGTAGTCTTTCTGAATTGCATAGACAAACCTAGAGTAAATTTACTCCCTTCAATGTTTAGCTTGCCTTGGCTGATAGGGACCTCAAGTGTGATACTCTGCCTGTATATAGAACTCTGAACCTAAGACTGTGCAATATGCTACACCCTCTTACAAAGCCTTTCTTTTCTTGTCTTTTTTTGGAGGGGGGCAGTGCATTCATACAGTATTTACTACCTGTCTGTTCCTCGAGTGGCAGCTGGCTTGTCATCAGACTGTCAATGGCAGTACTGGACTAAGTACTCATGTTCAAGAAAGCTTTGTTTACAGTAGCCTCAAGGCACAGAATTTGGATGCATCAACAAGAAGACATAAGCAGTTTCTTTAAGGGCAAAGGTCAAAGTTCTTACATAAAGATGGGGGAAAATCATCTCCTGGGATTGCTGAGATCTATAGCAAATGTATTTTCTACTTGTGAAATTGTGAAGAAGGAAAAAGAAATGTGTGTTAGTTTTGCTGTCACACTTCAGGCTGCAAAAGAAACAATTACCAAGTGTGATAAAGGCACAGTCAAGACTTAAAAGGCATTAGATTATAGGGTTTGCATCCCCCAGTACCATAAATACAGTGAGGCTCTTGGACGGCACCCTCAGGATGATGAAAGGCGCTTGGACTCTGAGTGCTTCAGCATTTCAGGTGGCTAACAGATAGTACCTGTGGGCATGCCATGACCTGAGTGGCGCTCCACAGTCAATTATAGGCTTGTAAGATTAATATTTCCCCTAATAATTTATTAATATGTCTTTAGATACAAATTCATGGTAGGAATTCGAACGACCACCTCCATAAGAATATAGGTTTAAGATATTTCACTGAAAGGCCTTCTGAAACATGCAAGAAAGAGCTATTGAGGAGCACCTGCAGGCTGCTTTCATGCGGTTCCCTTGAAAAGTCATCTCTAGCATGTGGCCAAGGTATGTGGGTGCAGCTAGGGTCTCCAGCAGGCCCATTTACATGCATTGGGGAGCTGGTTTCAAACTCTGTCCCACTGTGGTTGCTGAGGCTGAACCTGATTGAGACCAATTAAGCAGATGACTGGTTCCTACAAATTTCACGTTTTGTTTTGAAACCTATACGCACTCATGTTAAGAACTACTGTCAGCATTGCACAGGCCAGCAGCAAAGCCACTGAATACATCAGCACACAAGCAAATTAAACACATGCAAACAAAGTGCTTCAGATAAAGGTGCTAACTGCCTAAATGGTTAAAATTCACACTACATAAGGCAACTTTTTCCTTTCTGCTTGTCCAGTCTGTACTACTCCTTGGGGAGCCCCACAGTCTGTGTGCTAGCACATAAGCAGGCATGGGAGGAGAGTTCAGAGGCTTGCTTGTCAGTAGATGTGTTCCCTAAGAGACCAGGGGGAATTCTTAATATAGTTAATCTACCAATTCTAAATAATTTGATGTCCCATATCAGAAACCAACATGACATGACTTGTGGCAGGATGAAGGTGTGTCTGTCTGTTCTAACAGAACTGCCTAGGCTCCATGGGATAGGATAGCACAGAGCTCTGAAGGGCTCCATGGGTTTTGGGGGGAGACTATGCTGAGAACAACTGGCAGAACATGGCAAGACAGCATGTCAGATTTCATACTCTGCAGACATCTCCAACAACTGATGCCTTGTAGTCCAAGGCTGTTAAATTACCTGTGAAGGGTTACTGGCAGAGCTGAATGTTGCTCTCATTGTTTATTTAGTTCCTAAAGCTCTTGGTCTTTGTGCTGATTGCCCTAACTGACAGCACAGGAAATCTGGACTTGGAAAACAGGGCAGTGTTCTATTGAATTACAGGTCGAAGGTCTGTAATCAACCTGTGGGCTGAACCTGTATAGAGAAATTCTTGCCTTGAAGAACAAAGAAGCTTAATCTAAGCAAACACCAGTGCTATAAATAATATTATAAAGCAGATGAACTTGGAAGAGGGGCAGAGGGACAAATGTCTCTGGGGACAAAAAGAGCACAATGACAAAGAATAAGTACACTATTGAAGGTAAGGAAAATGCAGTTATTTTCTGACTACAAAAGAATTTCTTGACACTTGGAGTATGTTAAACTGGAAGGGGAATGAGGGGCTCTATTTCCATAAAAACCAGCCTCACAATTTAGTCGTGACTACCTTCATAAAAGCAGAGTAAGCTGAAATGCCCAGCATCAGACTATATACTTGTGTAGCAGATATTTTATGTAGCTCTTAATTAAAATACATAAATAAAAAGGCAGCCCCAAGTAAGTTGAATGGGAGGATAAATTGGCACGAGGAGAAAGGTCTCCATCACCACGGTTCTGGGCTTCTCTGCAGCACTGTACATTGCTCTGGACCTGGGACTGCATCAGTGCTGTGCCACGCACCAGCTCCCTTCTGAGCAGTACTTGTTACCACAGAAGCATGAGCTACCACATCACTGTGTCCCAAAGACCTCCTTCTGCAGGTTAGAATTAGAGAGTCAACACCAGCTCCCTTCTGAGCAGTACTTGTTACCACAGAAGCATCACTGTGTCCCAAAGACCTCCTTCTGCAGGTTAGAATTAGAGAGTCAAGGTTTCATTAGTATACTCATTCATGTTGATCCTTTTAGCTTCTTATTTTGAACTCTGAGATTTAATCTACAGATAAATGGTAGGATCTATAAGCTATTTTCCCCCTAGGTATATTTCGGAAAGTGTGAAATGTAATTTAATAAAATTATAAAAGTAAACACAAAGTACTATCAGTGAGTGTTTACTTTATTCTTGCCAATTTTTATTTCAAAGGCTGAAATGCAGCTTTATTAAACAATGAATGTTTTTATGAATGACCTTCAATCACTGGTAAATACAATTCTCACTAACAGTTGCTTTCAAACTTACTTGAATACAAGATGCATCTTCCACAAGATAACATATATTTAGATAACACTATATCAAACAATTCAGATATACATACCATAGAATATTTAAATGTCTAACTACAACATATGGAATACTACATACTGTTCATAGAGCAAAGAGCTACTGTACAAGTCAATGTGTTGTGTTATACTTAGACTTATGTGGGTAATATATCGACATAATTCTGCCTCAATTAAAAGCATATTTCACCAGAAGCCCAGGATGTCGGGCCTATGTATTTTAATAACGCCAGCTTACAACTCTGCTTATGCTAAATGTACATTACTCAGATGGGTTCAGAATTATGCTTTACATAAATAAAGACTGAACATATTAAGACAAAATCTCGCATAGTCTAAGTATATATTAATGGAACAGTGCCAGAATCTGCTGGCAATCCCACATGCTGTACATAAAAATCAGCGAATAGGTATAAGACTTTACCAATATTTTCACTTGAAATTGTTTTTCGTTCTTGTCCTTCCAAAGATGGAACAAAGTAAAACCTGAGCAGAAGAAAGACCTCAGGTGTCTTATAAATTTCATTCTACATGGTATATACAGAGGAGATAACTTAGTATTTATGAAGGCCATAATACTTTACCCTACAGTTGGAAATGAAAACACCAGAAACACAGGTTCTGTTTAGTCAGTCCTAAATCAGTATCCCTACTTGATGCTCTACCCTGCACTTTCCATGTAAGGGACACTGAATATTTATAATAATAATAATAATAATAATCTACAATATCAGTAGCTTCCACTGTGTACACTGCAGTGAGTGATACCCACAGGCATAAATACAGCTTCTGTAAATTCTAAGACCCCAGGCTAAGACAGTTTCATATTTAGCATGATGAACATAATCAGGTAAAATTGCTTGGCATAATGTGATACTTGGGGAAAAAGTGAGATGCAATTATAACAATCTTCAAACAGGAAGCAAATTAATCTATGACAATGCTATTATCTTGGCCATCTCGCTTGTTTTTGTTTGTTAGCTCTTTATTATTAAGATTTAAATATGTTTTAAGATGTTTAAAGACTAAAGGGTGAAACCCCACGGTTTACTATAAGATGTGACTTAAGAACTACACCAAGACTTTAAGCAGCAGTGAATCACAGGGGCAGAGAACTGGGGGTGGCTAAACACAGGGATATAATTTACAGGGTGCACAGCAAGCAAGATGTGGAGATGAATGTCCGCCTGTCATCAGGAGAGTGACTTAGTGCCTATAAAGCTCTTTTAGAATTTCTTTCAATATTTGATGCTAGAATTTTTTATTTTAATAATTGCTGTAAGAATGTATCTGAAGGTTATATAATTAAATTGACTGGTATATCCTAGATGGAAACAGGTTTCTCAAAAATTCATAGACTGAAATTCTAACTTGTAGTATCTCAGATTGTGACCTTATTTAGAACAGGCATCTTAGGGGTATACATACATATTTAAGATGAGGTTATCTTGGCATTGTGTGGGCCTCCAAATTCCTTATGAAAAGGGAAAATTGAGAGAACTTGTGAAGACTGGCTATGCAGATAAAAGTCACATGCCATAGTTTAGTTAATCTTGATTATCAACTTGATATGACTTAGAATGAAACAAATCTCTGACCAGGTTTAAAAAGGATTATGTTGGAAGACCCATGCTAACTGTAGGTCCTACTATTCCACCAGCTGAGGTCCTTGACTGAATAAAAATGAGAAAGGGGGCTGAACACAAGTATTAATAATTTGCTGCTTTCTGACTACAGAGTGAATGTGACTAGCACCATTCTTCTCTTTTTGACATCCCTTTCCTTTCATGGTGTGCTGTTTCCCTGGAACAGTGAGCTAAATAAACCCTTCATTCCTTAAGGTGCTTGTCAGGGATTCTACAACAGCAACAGGAAAAGTAGACACACAATCCGACCCCACCAGATGCAAAAGGCCTGCAAGGGTTCCATCAGCACTTTTCCAACTTTGGATGTATAAACAAGCAAGGGGTGCAGGACTCGTGGACTTCTGGTCTTGAGAATTAGAAAATAATCAATGTGATTGTTTAAGCCCTTCAGTTAGGGAACTGGGTTACAGTGTCCTAGCAAACTAATGGCCAATATTTGTCTAATTTACTTCTTTCTTTCTTTCTTTCTTTCTTTCTTTCTTTCTTTCTTTCTTTCTTTCTCTTTCTCTCTCTCTCTCTCTCTCTCTCTCTCTCTCTCTCTTCCTTCCTTCCTTCCTTCCTTCCTTCCTTTCATTTTTCGAGACAGGGTTTCTCTGTGTAGCTTTCAAGCCTGTCCTGGCACTTGCTCTGGAGACCAGGTTAGCCTCGAACTCACAGAGATACGCCTGCCTCTGCCTCCTGAGTGCTGGGATTAAAGTGGTGCGCCACCAACGCCCGGCCTCATTTATTTTCTTATGATAAACATTATTTGGTTAATACCATGAAACTAGAGATGTCCAAAAGTATATTCAAATACTGATGTCTATTCTAGGTACCCTCAACAGGGAAGCCTTTGTGAAATGTACATTGGCTGGTCTTCACTACAGACAAGACTGAAAGATAGCAACGACAACAACATAAAAACAAACAAACAAACAAAAAACTAGGATACTTTGTGCTGGTTGCCAAAAGACTGCTATTTCTTATGTGTATCTTGAATAGTTTTCAATTCTCCAAATTATTACACATGACGACAAGCAAAAATTGTAATGCTATTTAATGTGGTTCCCAGTCCATGTGGTTACTGCAAACAATCTCATTACAGAAGAGCGATGCTAGAGAAGAGTAAATGCTTATGAAGACTCTACTCTGTGTAAACGTGACAGATGTGACGTAAGTAGACAGCTGTAAATTTGAAATGCACAATGCAGTACACAAGCAAGCACAGAAATGCTTTACAATGATACGCTCCAAATTCAAACCTCAGTCTAAAAATGTTCACACAAATCATGGAAGGCAAGAAGTGGGCTGGCTAGAAAGCCCTTCTGTCCTCAGTCAGTCAGCAGAGTTCAATGGGCACCCCAGTTACCTCAGAGAAACTGAGAAAACTGAAATAACTTTTAAAAGCATAAAAAAATTCAGGCAACATCTGAACCACAGTTCAAGAAATTAGACTGCATGATAAATTTCAATGAAGTAATTGTCCATTAAGATAAAAATCCAAATATGACCTAGAAATACATAGCAGTCAAAATGTCTGGCATACAATCACCTATCACACTGAGAGCCCAGAGAGTCACAATGTGATAAGAAAAGAAAACTGTCTGATGCCAGTATCAAGATGAATCCCAGGCTCAAATAAATTGACAGAGTTTTTAATGCAAGTATTATAAAAATGTTTTCAGCAAAACTGAATGTCTTCCTGAGACATACATAAGTTATTCTCAGCTAAGAAACAGAGGTTACAAAGAAAAAAATGAAAATTAAAGAAATCAAAAATACAATACAAGACTTATAGGCTTACTGACTAGGCTCAGAAGCTGGGGAAAGAACATAAGGTCAAGTGGATGGCATGCAGAAATGAAGAGAACTTGAGGGACAAAAACAAAACTCATTCTTAGAGAAGAGTAAGAAAAGAAAGATGAGAGGAATTTAAAATTATTTAAAGAAATAAAAGGTGAAAACATCCAAATTTTATGAAAGGCCTATTGCTACAGATCAAGGAGTTAAGTGACCCTGGAAGAAGAAAACTGAAAAGAAACTCACATGAAGACACATTATAATTATACTCTTGAAAAACACAGATAAAAAGAAACTCTTGAAGTCAGCCAGAAAGTAATCACACACTCCCAACTGAGGAACCCGGTTGATACAAAAGCAGATTTTTCATCAGAAGCCAGGAGGCACAAGGAGCAGCCTGGGTCTTCTCAAGTGCCTAAGAGACTAACTTGCCACCATGATTTCCGTAACTGGTGGAAGAGTCTTTCAGGACTGAGGAGCAAATAAAAATACTCTAGAAAAGACGTGCTTGTTGTCAGATTCAGACCAACCCTGGCTTAAGGAAGACATGAAGAAGTAAGCAGAAACAAGGTTCCAGGAAAAGGTTGTCACTGTGAGGGAAGAGGGACAGGAAGAGCAGAATGCATCTGTTACTGTCTCCTTCCTTCTCCCAGATCTTAAAGTATGAAAACTCAGCTATCACTGATTTAATTTTTGCACAGTACCATTCTAAAATGATGAAAACTAATTAAAATCATTCCTACTTCAGGGCTCCTTGGAATGCATGGGGTATCACACTGCAGGTGTTTGCATCAATGCCTGGACTCGTTCTATTGGTGTAGGAAGTGGGTTCAGTAGCTTGTAACCTTAGCTACTCAGGAAGCTGAGGAATGAGGGTTGTGGGTTTGAGACCAGCCTGTATAATGGTAAGACCCAGTTAGAAAACAAAAGTATAAAATAAAATTATACTTTTCTTGTCTAACTAAACGTTTCAATAGGCCTTTATTAAGAATAAAAAATGAGCTCTGGAAATGAAAGACAAATTAAAGAACAGGCAGCTGGGTTTTACAAAGAGCTCAGAGAAAGAAGGGTGGCAACTGGAGGCATGCGTGGGCTGGAGGCTTGCTCCCACTGTGGGCGGAAAGCTCAATGCAGCACCACACAATGACAAGCAGCTGTCACTCAGTATAGAACAGGTAATTTGTAAGGAGATTTCTAGCCAGAAAATGAAGCACTAATAGTCTTTATTCACCAATTAATTCCTGCAGTAAATCCCTCATCCTTGTGGGTCTTGTAACAATTTACAGCAGGATAGCTAAGTACTCTCAAGAGGAAGGTAAGGCAACACCTCAGAGGGTCCTGTCTGACAGGAACATCACTTCCATCCTATCCTATCTTCTTGTCCCTTTGCATGTCACAACTGCTCCCTGACAACCACCACTTACTATCCCTGCAGAGGTATCACACCTGCTACACACATTATCAGCATGAGTACAGCATATACTGGACAAATGGTAAAATAACTAAAGGAATTAGATCAAGATAATTGTAGAACTATAATTTGTTTTAAAATCATAAAAAACATAGTTGGAAAAGGCTGAAGAAATATTAGCTTAGGACACTGCACATATAACAGTGAACAAGCAGCCCAAATGTTATCTTAGAAGACATTAACAGCAGGGTGTATGCTCTTAGCAGACATGGGCCCTGAGTTTGGTGTCACATGCTGAGATCAACAAGGACAAGACACCAAACCAATACAGGGAGGTCTCCTATTGGCAGCCCTTTGAGGGCTTCTCATTAGAGCCAGAGGAGAATACTCTGCTTCCCCCCACATCTTTCTGTCTTTGGGGATGCCTGGTTTGCCTGGCTTCTCCAGAGCTCACTGTCCTGACCACATCCCATTTCCTTCACACCCTCCATTCCACAGTTTGCTAGAAGCCCTCAGTTGTCCAGACCCATGCTTCCTTGGTATTCCACAGGTAGCTATAGGCTTGAAAGGCTCTCTTGACACATTTTCACACATCGGGCCTTTATGTCACACAGATGTTTGCTCACAAAGTAATTTTCTTACAATTTTTGGAAGACAGGATATGTCTACTAGTTTAATCATGGTGATGGTTTCAAGGGTTTATACTCATGTCGAAACAAACCAGTGTATACTTTAAATATATGCTGGTTATTATACGGTCATTATTCATCAAGAACTTGGTTTCCTTCCATCATTCTCTTGCATCTTCTCAACCTTGCATGTACAAGGGATCTAAGACCCTCAGCTCCCTCCCCTCCAGGTTGGCTGTTATAGTTCTCCTCCTCCTGGAAAGCCAACACAGCACCACGAGGAGTGCCGATTAGTGTCCAGCTCATTATCCAGTATTTCTCTGAGGAGTCTAGACCAGTGGCTACTTGATTTGGCAGATCCATGAGTACATGACTGGGTCAGTCCTGAGCAAAGATTTCTGCTTCTAAGGTCCAGGGCACCATTGCCCTGGCAGTTAAGATCAGGAGAGAGAAATAGCATGCATTCTCAGAATTGGGTTGTGACCAACACAAAGTTCAAGCGCAGTGAGATTTGCTACCAAATTACCTAGTCCCCTATTTTTAATGAGTTAGTAGCAGCCGTATAATGACCAAATATTTTCTTCTCTCTGGTCTCCCAGAGATGTCTGAAATGTTAGGTTCTCGATTAGGGAAAGGTGCCATTTTTGAGTAGTGAAAGCAGGAAAACCGTTTACAATATGCTGTGGTATTCTAGATAGTTAAGAGACGTTCGGACAGCTAATTAGGGTAGGAACATTAACTGTACCTTCATTGAGTTAAGCGTGGATCACTATTAACTATGATTTCCGAACGGTCTCAATATTTTATTTTCTGTTAACTACACTGGGACATTTCCAAGCATTATTATGCCTGCCTTTCTTCCTTCCTTCCTTCCTTCCTTTCCTTCCTTCCTTCCTTCCTTCCTTCCTTCCTTCCTTCCTTCCGTCCGTCCGTCCGTCCGTCCGTCCGTCCGTCCGTCCCTCCCTCCCTCCTAGATGCTGTAGAGTTGTGATGGGTGACAACCTTCTGTATATATGTTTCTCTTACTGGTGGATGAATAAAACACTGATTGGCCAGTAGCCTGGCAGCAAGTATAGGTGAGCTTCTAGATGAGGAAAATTCTGGGGAGAGGGGCAGAGAAGCCTCCAGAGAGACACCATGTAGCAGCTGAAGGAGTAACATGTCCGGGCATTCTCCAGTAACACAAGGTCATGTAGAAATAAATAGATTAATAGAAATGGGTTAATAACTAAGAGAGAACTAGCCAGTAAGAAGCCCAAGTCATCGGCCAAACAGTTTATAATTAATATAAGCCTCTGTGTGTTTATTTGGGGCTAAACGGCTATGGGACCAGATGGGACAGAAACTCTGTCTACAGAGTTGCCCTATTCCTCACTAACACTTGGTATTTCTATCACTATTTTTTTTTAAAGGATACTTAACATTTCTTCATTTCTTTCGTTTTCTATACCACCAGGCTGTCTTGACTTTCTCATTCTTTGGCCTCAGCATCCTAAGCAGCTAGGATTATGGGCCTGTGTTATAAGGCTGGCAGGAACTATTTACTTTTATTTTAGGAAGTAGGCTTAGTTTTGAAAATGAATAACTATAGAGAAGATCATGAAAATGAATCACAGGTAATAATTTAGATGAAAAACTTCATATAAAGTAAAGGTAGGAAATGCTAAAGAAACAAATCTACATATTAGAAAGTTCAATAGAGGAACTGGGGAAAAAGAAAACTATATATTGAAAGAATGGTACATTTTAAAGTTTTCCTAGAAGTTAAAAACTAAAGGGAAATTGTGTTAGTGATCAAGAAGAAATATCAAGACACTGATGCAGATAGCCAATCAATAGGAAGACATGGTGACAGAAGGAAGAATGTCAATGGAGGCTTACTGGGAGTTTGCCCATTTCCCAAAAGCTCCATACACAGAGAAACTTAGTGGAATGAACTCAGTGGCCAGGTTGACTAGAGCCTAAGTAGTTCAGAATGCAAGAGCAGAGAGGACAGAGGGGGGCAGCCTGGCCCACATTCACACGCTTTCCTTATTCCTGCTCACTGCCTTTTGGGGATTCCAACTGTTAACCAATGGCTGGGGCCAGGGACTGCTTCCTGCTGGGCTCCCTTTAAATGTCCACAGCATTCAAGAGAAAGAAAACCTGGGTAAGTTTGGATGTTTAGAGCCACCTGGGAATCCCAGTTGCTATGTTCTTAACAAAGAGGTGACACAGACTCTTGGGTCCAGAGCTGTTGTTAGAGGGAGGAGGGAAGATTATTGTTCCTTTGGTTTTCATTGTAATCCTTAATATGTGCCATTCCAGACTCAAGAACAGGGGAAAAAGCTGCATGTGAAATATTAAAATGGCTATCGTGCTAGCAAATTTCAGTACAGACAATCAATTCAGGCTCAGCAAAGGCAGTGGTAAAGGTCAAAACAAAATCATTAAAGAAGTTTCTAAAGCTTCTAGAAGCCTCATTAAAACCACATCCTGCTAAAAGTATGAAAACCCTGGAGAGTCAGGTGAGAGAGCAGGAAGTACATGCTCAGAGAGTTCCCATTAGCAAAAAATGGGAGATTGCCCTGGGTTCTGAGAGCTTATTCCACAGCTTCTTAGCACACAGCAAAAGAAGAGGAATTAGGCACTCAGGAAGCTCTCATGAAAATGAAGCCAATGCTGCCATGGTGGTATGTCTGTACAGGGTCCAAAGCAAACAGGATCTCTATAACTGTGAGTGAAGGGTACATGATCTCACAACGTGCCTCAGAGCACTGTTCTTCCCTGGTTGAGTATATAGCACCAAATGGCATTCCCTTCTGTGTTGGCACTCACACACACACACACACATTTCTATACCCCAATGAGAACTGTTTTGAGGATGGCCCTATTCTCTAAATAAACAGCAGAAACAATGAAAATCATTGCCAATATCCACTGAGTGCCTGAGAATCCACTGAGCTCCATCTTCTTCCCTATTTTAAAAAATGTGAACACTAAAGAAGGAATATGGTGAATGAGTCAATGGAACCACTGCTGACTTGTTCTCTGCTGCCATACAAAGACATTTCCATTAATTTAGGAAAAGGGATTAGAAGACATGAGCTATACATTTATGTGGTCATGAGTACTGCTGGGTACCACAACATCCTGAAGAGGACTCTGGGCATCTTTTCCTATGCTGCCATTCTGTGGAGCACCTATGTAACTGTTGTTGGTGCTTCTTGGCCAACTTGTACTACAATACTATTTCATTTCCGGTTCAGATGACCTTCTACTGTTCTTAGGGTGAAAATTTAGCTATTACGGGCAGTTCAGTCTTTCTCTTTTTGGGGAGATGGAGTAATAACATTCTAATTTCCTGAGGGAGAATTCAAGAACATGGGCCATGCCAAAGAGATGGAGTATGTCTCTCCTTCCAATTGGGGCTGTGCTTCTGGAGTGCATGGCTTGTGTTAACCCTGTTTCCAGATATGCTAACAGATGTCTAAAACACTGTCTAAGAACAGTCAGGTGATGTTTTCACTGACAGGGTATAACACTGCCTATCTATAGCTGTGGTCACAATCTCATATAAAGCATAATGCTACTTGAGGGTTCAGTTTTTGTTTTTATATACTTAATTAAAATGTATGTGTGTGTATGTATGTACATATGTATGCATATATGTTAACACGTACTTGTATTCTGAGATATTGGGAATCAAATCCAGCACCTTGTACATG